GAGAAGTTTATAGAATGTATTAGAGATAATTTTGAAGATCAATGTGCTGAGGAGCCGACCAGGGAACAAGCCATATTAGACCTTGTTTTGTGCAATGAAACAGGGCTGATCAGCAAACTGGAACTTAAGGCTCCTCTCGGGCAAAGCGATCATAATATGATGGAATTTAGCGTTAAGTTAGAGAGGGAAGTAGTTAAGTCTGAAGCAAAAGTCTTCAATTTAAATCGAGCCAACTTTGCTGGTATGAGAGAGGATTTAGCCAGAATCAACTGGGAGACTAAACTTAAAGATTTGACGGTAGACCAGCAATGGCAGACATTCAAGGAGATAGTGCAAAATTCACAACGAGCACATATTCCTTTGAGGAATAAGAATGCCACGGGAAAGGTGGTGCAGCCGTGGCTAACTAGAGCAGTTAGGGAAAGTATCCAATCAAAAGAAAAAGCCTATAAAACAGCGAAGATGAGTAGTAAACCCGAGGATTGGGAGAACTTTAGGGAACAACAGAGGAGGACCAAAAAATTGATCAAGAGGGAGAAAATAGATTACAGGGCAAACGAGCAAAGAACATAAAAACAGAAAGAGTTTTTAAACAAGTATTTTTCTGAAGTCTTCACCGTAGAAGACACTGGAAACATACCAAAAATAGAGGACCAAGAAGACAATGTTAGCGAGCAACTTAGGGAGATTAACATCAGTAAAGAGATGGTTCTCGGTAAATTGTCGGGTCTTAAAACCGGTAAATCCCCTGGACCGGATGGTCTACATCCGAGAGTTTTAAAGGAGGCGGCTACTGAGATAGTGGATGGAATGTCTATAATCTTCCAAAAGTCTGTGGATACTGGAAAAGTTCCCATTGATTGGAAGATTGCAAACGTAACTCCACTATTTAAGAAGGGTGGGAGAGAAAATAGGGAAAACTATAGACCAGTTAGTTTGACGTCAGTTGTAGGGAAAATTCTTGAGTCCTTAATAAAAGACGTAGTTATGGGATACCTGGAAGACCATAAAAAGATTAGGCAGAGTCAACATGGCTTTACAAAAGGGAAGTCATGCTTGACTAACCGTTTAGAATTTTTTGAGGATGTATCCAGCAGGTTGGATAAGGGGGAACCAGTAGATGTGATATATTTGGATTTTAGGAAGGCATTTGACAAGGTGCCACACAAAAGGCTGTTACTCAAGATCAAGGCCCACGGGATTAATGGGAAAATATTAACATGGATAGAAGAGTGGCTATCGGGTAGAAAGCAGAGAGTAGTGATAAACGGATCATTCTCGAATTGGCAGGAGATGTGACTAGTGGAGTGCCACAAGGATCAGTGCCCCGGCCTCAGCTATTTACCATTTACATCAATGATCCGGACGAGGACATTGAATGTAATGTGTCTAAATTCGCGGATGATACTAAACTCGGTGGGTGAGTAAGCTCTGAGGATGATGCAAAAAGATTGCAACAAGATATAGATAGGCTCGGGGAGTGGGCAAGTAGGTGGCAGATGGAATTCAATGTTAGCAAGTGTGACATTATTCACCTCGGTAGCAAGAATAAAAGAACAGATTATTTTCTGGAAGGGGAGAAGTTAGATAATGTTAGTATTCAAAGGGATTTGGGTGTCCGTGTACACCAGTCCCAAAAAGTTAGTTTGCAGTGCAGCAACAACTAAGAAGGCGAACGGCAGTTAGCGTTCATTGCCAAAGGTTTAGAGTACAAGAGTAGGGAAGTCTGACTGCAACTGTATAGGGCTTTGGTGAGACCGCACCGAGAGTATTGTGTGCAGTTTTGGTCCTTATTTAAAAAAGGACATACTTGCCCTCGAGGGGGTGCAGCGTAGATTCACTCGGTTAGTGCCTGGGATGAGGGGACTGACCTATGAGGAGAGGCTGAATAAACTGGGGCTGTATTCTCCAGAGTACAGAAGAATTAGGGGAGATCTTATTGAAACATATAAGATTCTTAAAGGGCTGATAAAGGGTCTGTTTCCCCGGGAGGAGAATCTATAACCAGGTCACAGTCTGAAAATTAAGGGTTAGCCTTTTAGAACAGAGTTGAGGAAACATTTCTTCACTCAGAGGGTAGTGAACTTGTGGAATTCACTCCCCCGAAGGCTGTAGATATCAGTCCTTGAACATCTTCAAGGCTGAGACTGATAGATTCTTGAAAAATAGAGGGATTAGGGGATATGGGGAGAGGGCAGTTAGGTGAGAAGATCAGCCATGATCTTAATGAATGGCGGAGCACAGGCACGAAGGGCCGAATGGCCGACTCCTGCTCCTAATTCTTATGTTCTTATGTTCCACCCCCCCTCTCTCCCACCCCCCCTCTCTCCCACCCCCCCTCTCTCTCCCACCCTCCCCTCTCTCTCTCACCCCCCCGTCTCACCTCCGCTCTCCACTTCTCTCACCCCGTCTCACACCAGCTTTACTGTGTCTCTAACCCTGACCTGGGAGTGTGGACGCACAGTGTGGAGGGTGTGCTGATGTTGCAGTGTCTTGTGTTTGATGTTTCACAGACAGCCCATCACTTTCGGGGATGGTGGACATGGATTACCCATTGCAAGGCCCAGGGTTGGTGGCTTTGCCTAACCTTCCGGAGATCAGCAACATTCGCAGGGTCCCTCTCCCCCCTGAGCTGGTGGAGCAATTCAGCCGTATCCTCACCTCATAACTGTCCCTGTGTTAGCGGGTTTAACCGGGCGGGACGGGTGGGGTCAGGGGTGTTAGGGTGGGGAGATGGGGTCAAAGTGGGGAGGGAGAGTCGAGGAGGGTTCAGTTGGGGTCCATGGGATGAGATAGGTGTGGGTGAGAGACACTGGGGTAGAGTGAGGCAGTGAGGGGCTGGGGGGCAGTGAGGCAGTGAGGGGCTGGGGGGCAGTGAGGTACAGTGAGGGGCTGGGGGGCAAGGAGGTCTGGAAGGGAGGGAGGAAGGTGGGGAGGGAGGGGCAGGCAGTGTGTGGGGTGCATGTTCCTGAGCTGAGTTGCCCAGATATGCAGTGTAACTGTATGATGGGAGTGTTCCCAGAGGTTGGGAAGGCCTGGCTGACCATCGATAGTGACATCTTCATGTGGAATTATGAAGACGGGTGAGTAGACTTTTTCGCCCACAACAACAACAAGATTACATTTCTACATGTGTGATTACATTTATGGAGTCCTGTAGCTCAGTGGTTAGAGCACTCGCTTTGCAAGTGAGAGACCTGAGTGCAATCCCCGGCAGCGCGAAACCTCGGGCAAGTTTCCTTACTCCACACAGAGCCTAATAATAATCCCTCCAAAACCAAACAATAATAAATTGGTCATTTTCAATCTACGACTGTTTGTGGGACACTGCTGTGCGCAATTGGCCGCCGCGTTCGCCCACAAATATACAGTCAATTCACTTTACAGTGTGTTCTGTGAAGCGCTTTGGGACGTCCTCCCGACGTGAAAAGCGCTATATCAAATGCAAGGATTATTATTATTATTATTATTATTAAAGCGCCTTTCACTTGGCAAAGTAGTCAATTCACTTTACTGAATGCAACACACTGCAGATTCTTGTGGAGTCCTGTAGCTCAGTGGAGTCCTGTAGCTCAGTGGAGTCCTGTAGCTCAGTGGTTAGAGCACTCGCTCTGCAAGTGAGAGACCTGAGTTCAATCCCCAGGGGGTCAGTCAGGGCCAAACCTCGGGCAAGTTTCCTTACTCCACACAGAGCCTAATAATAATCTGACGCAGTGTGTGTGTGACGCGGTGTGTGTGACGCGGTGTGTGTGACGGTGTGTGTGTGTGACAGTGTGTGTGTGACGGTGTGTGTGTGACGCGGTATGTGTGACAGTGCGTGTGAAGGTGTGTGTGTGACGCGGTGTGTGTGTGATGGTGTGTGTGACGCTGTGGGTGATGCGGTGTGTGTGATGGCGTGTGACGGTGTGTATGTGACGCGGTGTGTGTGTGTGACGCGGTGTGTGTGTGTGACGCGGTGTGTGTGTGACTATGTGTGTGACATGGTGTGTGTGATGTGATGTGTGTGACGGTGTGTGTGTGACCGCGGTGTGTGTGATGTGGTGTGTGTGACGCGGTCTGTGTGACACTGTGTGACGCGGTGTGTGTGTGTGACTGTGTGTGATGCGGTGTGTGTGACACGGTGTGTGTGACGCGGTATGTGTGACGCTGTGTATGTGATGCGGTGTGTGTGTGACAGTGTGTGTGACGCGGTGTGTGTGACGGTGTGTGTGACGCGGTGTGTGTGTGACGCGGTGTGTGTGTGACATGGTGTGTGTGACACGGTGTGTGTGACGGTGTGTGTGACGCGGTATGTGTGACGGTGTGTGTGACGCGGTGTGTGTGACGCGGTGTGTGTGACGCGGTGTGTGTGACGCGGTGTGTGTGACGCGGTGTGTGTGACGCGGTGTGTGTGACGCGGTGTGTGTGACACTGTGTGTGTGTGACGCGGTGTGTGTGTGACGCGGTGTGTGTGACGCTGTGTGTGTGATGCGGTGCGTGTGACGGTGTGTGTGACCCGGTGTTTGTGTGGTGTGTGTGATGGTGTGTGTGACGATGGTGTGACGGTGTGTGTGTGACGCGGTGTGTGTGACGGTGTGTTTTTGTGTGATGCGGTGTGTGTAACGGTGTGTGTGACGCGGTGTGTGTGTGTGTGACGCGGTGTGTGTGTGACATGGTGTGTGTGACACGGTGTGTGTGTGACGGTGTGTGTGACGGTGTGTGTGACGCGGTGTGTGTGACGCGGTGTGTGTGACGGTGTGTGTGACGGTGTGTGTGACGGTGTGTGTGACGTGGTGTGTGTGTGACGGTGCGTGTGTGACGGTGCGTGTGTGACGGTGCGTGTGTGACGGTGCGTGTGTGACGGTGTGTGTGTGACGGTGCGTGTGATGGTCTGTGTGACGGTCTGTGTTTACAGGGGGGATTTGGCGTATTTCGATGGACTGAGTGAAACGATTCTGGCCGTAGGACTGGTCAGACCCAAGCCTGGTAAGCCCCGCCCCCCCACCATCCCGCCCCCACTGCCCCGCCCCGACTGCCCTGCCCCGCCCCCACAGTCCCGCCCCCCATTGCGACCCACCGCCCCGCCCCGACTGCCCTGCCCCGCCCCCACCGCCCCGTCCCCACCGCCCCGTCCCCAACGCCCCGTCCCCACCGCCCCGCCCCCACCATCCCGCCCCAACTGCCCTGCCCCGCCCCCACAGCACCGCCCACACCACCCCGCCCCACCGCCCGCCCCCACCATGACGCCCCCACCGCCCCAATCCAAACCCATCCCCAATCCCATCCCCAATCCCAACCCAATCCCATCCCCAACCCAAACCCATCCCCCAACCCATCCCCAACCCAATCCCATCCCCAACCCAACCCCATCCCCAACCCCATCCCCAACGCAATCCCATCCCCAACCCCAACCCCAACCCCATCCCCAACCCCATCCCCAACACAATCCCAACCCCATCCCCAACCCCAACCCCATCCCCAAACCCAACCCAATCCCAACCCAATCCCATCCCCAACCCAATCCCATCCCCAACCCAATCCCATCCCCAACCCCAATCCCATCCCCAACCCCGTCCCCAACTCCAACCCAATCCCATCCCCAACCACAACCCCATCCCCAACCCCATCTCCCACCCAATCCCATCCCCAACCCCAATCCCATCCCCAATCCCAACCCAATCCCATCCCAAACCACAACCCAATCCCATCCCCAACCACAACCCAATCCCATACCCAATCCCATACCCAACCCCAACCCCAATCCCAACCCCAACCCCAATCCCATCCCCAACCCCAATCCCATCCCCAACCCCAACCCCATCCCCAACCCAATTCCATCCCCAATCCCAACCCCAACCTCAATCCCATCCCCAATCCCATCCCAACCCCAATCCCATCCCAACCCCAATTCCATCCCCATCCCCATCCCATCCCCAATCCCATCCCCAATCCCATCCCCAATCCCAACCCAATCCCATCCCCAACCCAAACCCATCCCCCAACCCCATCCCCAACCCAATCCCATCCCCAACCCAACCCCATCCCCAACCCCATCCCCAACCCAAACCCAACCCCAACCCCAAACCCATCCCCAACCCAACCCCATCCCCAACCCCAATCCCATCCCCATCCCCAACCCCATCCCCAAACCACCCAATCCCATCCCCAATCCCAACCCAATCCCATCCCCAACCCAAACCCATCCCCCAACCCCATCCCCAACCCAATCCCATCCCCAACCCAACCCCATCCCCAACCCCATCCCCAACGCAATCCCATCCCCAACCCCAAACCCATCCCCAACCCAATCCCATCCCCAACCCAAACCCATCCCCCAACCCCATCCCCAACCCAATCCCATCCCCAACCCAACCCCATCCCCAACCCCATCCCCAATGCAATCCCATCCCCAACCCCAATTCCATCCCCAACCCCATCCATCCCCAATCCCAACCCAATCCCATCCCCAACCCAAACCCATCCCCCAACCCCACCCCAACCCAATCCCATCCCCAACCCAACCCCATCCCCAACCCCATCCCCAACGCAATCCCATCCCCAACCCCATCCCCAACCCAATCCCATCCCCAACCCCAATCCCATCCCCAACCCCGTCCCCAACTCCAACCCAATCCCATCCCCAACCACAACCCCATCCCGAACCCCATCTCCCACCCAATCCCATCCCCAACCCCAATCCCATCCCCAATCCCAACCCAATCCCATCCCAAACCACAACCCAATCCCATCCCCAACCACAACCCAATCCCATACCCAATCCCATACCCAACCCCATCCCCAACCCCAATCCCATCCCCAACCCCAATCCCATCCCCAATCCCATCCCCAACCCCAATCCCATCCCCAACCCCATCCCAACCCAATTCCATCCCCAATCCCAACCCCAACCCAATCCCATCCCCAACCTCAATCCCATCCCCAATCCCATCCCAACCCCAATCCCATCCCAACCCCAATTCCATCCCAACCCCATCCCATCCCCAATCCCGTCCCCAATCCCAATCCCATCCCCAACCCAATCCCATCCCCAACTCCAACCCAATCGCATCCCCAACGACAACCCCATCCCCAACCCAATCCCATCCCCTACCCCAAGCTAATCCTATCCCCAACCCCAATCCCATCCCCATCCCCAACCCTAACCCGATCCCATCCCCAACCCCATCCCCAACCCCAACCCAATCCCATCCCCAACCACAACCCAATCCCATCCCCAAACCCAACACAATCCCATCGCCAACCCCAACCCCAACCCAATCCCATCCCCAACACCATCCCATCCCCAACCCCAATCCCATCCCCAACCCCAACCCAATCCCATCCCCAATCCCATCCCCAAACCCATCCCCAATGCCAACCCAATCCCATCCCCAACCCAATCCCATCCCCAACCCAATCCCATCCCCAACCCCAACCCCATCCCATCCCCAACCCCAATCCCATCCCCAACCCAATCCCATCCCCAACCCAATCCCATCCCCAACCCCAATCCCATCCTCAACCCAATCCCATCCCCAACCCCAATCCCATCCCCAACCCAATCTCAATCCCATCCTCAACCCAATCCCATCCCCAACCCCAAATCAGTCCTATCCCCAATCCCATCCCCAACCCCATCCCCAACCCAAACCCATCCCCAACCCCATCCCCAACGCCAATCCCATCCCCAACCCAATTCCATCCCCAACCCCAACCCAATCCCAACCCCGAACCAATCCCATCCCCAACCCCAACCCATCTCCAAACCCAACCCCAACCCAATCCCATCCCCAACCCCAACCCAATCCCATCCCAACCCCAACCCAATCCCAATCCCATCCCCAACCCAAACCTAATCCCATCCCCAACCCAATCGCATCCCCAGCCCCAACCACAACCTCAACCCCAAACCCATCCCCAACCCCAATCCCATCCCTACCCCAACCCAATCCCATCCCCAACCCAACCCAATCCCATCCCCAACCCATTCCCAACCCCAACCCAATCCCATCCCCAACCCCAACCCAATCCCATCCCCAACCCCAACCTGTCCCCAACCCCAATCCCATCCCCAACCCCAACCCAATCCCATCTCCAACCCCAATCCCAACCCCAACCCAATCCCATCCCCAACCCATCCCAACCCGTCCCCAACTCCAACCCAATCCCATCCCCAACCCAATCCCATCCCCAACCCAATCCCATCCCAACCACAACCCAATCCCATCCCCAACCACAACCCAATCCCATACCCATCCCCAATCCCAACCCAATCCCATCCCCAAACCCATTCCCAACGCCAACCCCATCCCCAACCCAATCCCATCCCCAACCCCATCCCATCCCCAACCCCAATCCCATCCCCAACCCAACCCAATCCCATCCCCAACCCATTCCCAACCCCAACCCAATCCCATCCCCAACCCCAACCCAATCCCATCCCCAACCCCAACCTGTCCCCAACCCCAATCCCATCCCCAACCCCAACCCAATCCCATCTCCAACCCCAATCCCAACCCCAACCCAATCCCATCCCCAACCCATCCCCAACCCCGTCCCCAACTCCAACCCAATCCGATCCCCAACCCAATCCCATCCCCAACCCAATCCCATCCCAACCACAACCCAATCCCATCCCCAACCACAACCCAATCCCATACCCATCCCCAATCCCAACCCAATCCCATCCCCAAACCCATCCCCAACGCCAACCCCATCCCCAACCCAATCCAATCCCCAACCCCATCCCATCCCCAACCCCAATCCCATCCCCAACCCAATCCCATCCCCAACCCCAATCCCATCCCCAACCCAATCCCAACCCCAACCCAATCCTATCCCCAATCCCATCCCCAACCCCATCCCCAACCCAAACCCAACCCCATCCCCAACGCCAATCCAATCCAATCCCATCCCCAACCCAATCCCATCCCCAAACCCAACCCAATCCCATCCCCAACCCCAAACCAATCCCAACCCCAACCCATCTCCAAACCCAACACCAACCCAACCCCAACCCAATCCCATCCCAACCCCAACCCAATCTCATTCCCAACCCAAACCTAATCCCATCCCCAACCCAATCGCATCCCCAGCCCCAACCACAACCCGAACCCCAAACCCATCCCCAAACCCAACCCAATCCCATCCCCAACCCCATTCCCATTCCTACCCCAACCCAATCCCATTCCCAACCCCAACCCCATCCCATCCCCAACCCCAACCCCAACCCAATCCCATCCTCAACCCAATCCCATCCCCAATCCCATCCCCAACCCAATCTCAATCTCATCCTCAACCCAATCCCATCCCCAACCCCAAATCAGTCCTATCCCCAATCCCAACCCAAACCCATCCCCAACCCCATCCCCAACGCCAATCCAATCCCATCCCCAACCCAATCCCATCCCCAACCCCAACCCAATCCCATCCCCAAACCAATCCCATCCCCATCCCCAACCCCAACCCAATCCCATCCCCAAACCAATCCCATCCCCATCCCCAACCCCAATCCCATCCCCAACCCAATCCCAATCCCATCCCCAACCCAATCCCAACCCCAACCCAATCCTATCCCCAATCCCATCCCCAACCCCATCCCAAACCCAACCCCATCCCCAACGCCAATCCAATCCCATCCCCAACCCAATCCCATCCCCAAACCCAATCCCATCCCCAACCCCAAACCAATCCCAACCCCAACCCCAACCCAATCCCATCCCCAACCCAATCCCGTCCCAACCCCAACCCAATCTCATTCCCAACCCAAACCTAATCCCATCCCCAACCCAATCGCATCCCCAGCCCCAACCACAACCCGAACCCCAAACCCATCCCCAAACCCAACCCAATCCCATCCCCAACCCCAATCCCATTCCTACCCCAACCCAATCCAATCCCATTCCCATCCCCAACCCCATCCCATCCCCAACCCCAACCCAATCCCATCCTCAACCCAATCCCATCCCCAACCCCATCCCCAACCCAATCTCAATCCCATCCTCAACCCAATCCCATCCCCAACCCCAATCCCATTCCTACCCCAACCCAATCCAATCCCATTCCCATCCCCAACCCCATCCCATCCCCATCCCCAACCCCAATCCCATCCCCAACCCAATCTCAATCCCATCCCCAACCCAAACCCATCCCCAACCCCATCCCCAACGCCAATCCAATCCCATCCCCAACCCAATCCCATCCCCAACCCCAACCCAATCCCATCCCCAACCCCAAACCAATCCCATCCCCAACCCCAACCCATCTCCAAACCCAACCCAATCCCATCCCCAGCCCCAACCCAATCCCATCCCAACCCCAACCCAATCCCATCCCCAACCCAAACCTAATCCCATCCCCAACCCAATCGCATCCCCAGCCCCAACCACAACCCCAAACCCATCCCCAAACCCAACCCAATCCCATCCCCAACCCCAATCCCATCCCTACCCCAACCCAATCCCATCCCCAACCCAATCCATCCCCAACCCAATCCCATCCCCAACCCAATCCCATCCCCAACCCCAACCCAATTTCATCCCCAACCTCAACCCAATCCCATCCCCAACCCCAACCCAATCCCATCCCCAACCCATCCCCAACCCCGTCCCCAACTCCAACCCAATCCCATCCCCAACCCAATCCCATCCCAACCACAACCCAATCCCATCCCCAACCACAACCCAATCCCATACCCATCCCCAACCCAACCCAATCCCATCGCCAACCCCAATCCCATCCCCAACGCAATCCCAACCCAACCCCATCCCCAACCCAATCCCATCCCCAAACCCATCCCCAACCCCATCCCCAACGCCAACCCAATCCCATCCCCAACCCAATCCCATCCTCAACCCCAACCCCATCCCATCCCCAACCCCAATCCCATCCCCAACCCAATCCCATCCCCAACCCCAATCCCATCCCCAACCCCAATCCCATCCCCAACCCAGTCCCAACCCCAACCCAATCCTATCCCCAATCCCATCCCCAACCCCAATCCCATCCCCAACCCAATCCCATCCCCAACCCCAATCCCATCCCCAACCCAATCCCAACCCCAACCCAATCTCATTCCCAACCCAAATCTAATCCCATCCCCAACCCAATCGCATCCCCAGCCCCAACCACAACCCAAACCCCAAACCCATCCCCAAACCCAAACCAATCCCATCCCCAACCCCAATCCCATTCCTACCCCAACCCAATCCAATCCCATTCCCATCCCCAACCCCATCCCATCCCCAACCCCAACCCAATCCCATCCTCAACCCAATCCCATCCCCAATCCCATCCCCAACCCAATCTCAATCCCATCCTCAACCCAATCCCATCCCCAACCCCAATCCCATTCCTACCCCAACCCAATCCAATCCCATTCCCATCCCCAACCCCATCCCATCCCCAACCCCAATCCCATCCTCAACCCAATCCCAACCCCAACCCATCTCCAAACCCAACCCCAACCCAATCCCATCCCCAACCCCAATCCCATCCCAACCCCAACCCAATCTCATCCCCAAACCCAACCCAATCCCATCCCCAATCCCAATCCCAATCCCATCCCTACCCCAACCCAATCCAATCCCAACCCCAACCCAATCCCATCCTCAACCCCAACCTGTCCCCAATCCCATCCCCATCCCCAACCCAATCCCATCTCCAACCCCAATCCCATCCCCAATCCCATCCCATCCCCAACCCAATCCCATCCCCAACCCCAACCCAATTTCATCCCCAACCTCAACCCAATCCCATCCCAACCCCAACCCAATCCCATCCCCAACTCATCCCCAACCCCGTCCCCAACTCCAACCCAATCCCATCCCCAACCCAATCCCATCCCATCACAACCCAATCCCATCCCCAACCACAACCCAATCCCATACCCATCCCCAACCCCAACCCAATCCCATTGCCAACCCCAATCCCATCCCCAACGCAATCCCAACCCCAACCCCAACCCAATCCCAACCCCAACCCCACCCCAACCCCGTCCCCAGCTCCAACCCAATCCCATCCCCAATCCCAACTCAGCCCCATCCCCAACCACAACCCAATCCTATCCCCAACCACAATCCAATCCCATCCCCATTCCCAGCTCCGCCCTCATGATCCCAAACTGCTGATTAATCTTGTAATTCTAGACATCTTCCAGCCTCATATTCGCTTCCTGCTGGTCCTCACCACTCCAGTGGACATCGTTATACTGGGGGTCAGCTTCCCTCCCTCTCCCACAGGTACACATACACACACATACACACCATACACACACACACACACACCGTATGCACACACGCCGTATACACACACACCGTGTATACACACACCGTATACACACGGACCGTATACACACACCTCCTAAACACACCGTATACACACACACCACATATACACACACCATATACACTGTATACACACACCGTATACTCACACACCGTATACACACACACCTTATACACACAAACACCGTATGCACACACACCGTTTGGACACAAATCGCTCGCGTGCACACCGTTCACGCGCCCACATCGTGTGCGCACACACACCGTACACACACACCCCCTATACACACCCTGTATACACACACCGTACAACAACACCACCACCAAACAAAATGCATCTATAGCGCGCCTTTCACGTTAGTCCCAAAGCGCTGAACAGTCAGGTGTTGTGCCCCGAGACTGGGGGAGGGGGGAGGGGTGGGGGAAGGCAGAGGGGTGGGAGGGAGACCAAAGGCACGATCGAAGAGAAGGGTCTTGAGACCTGCCTTGAAGGAGGCAAGGGAGGAAGCGAGGGGAAGGCACCGTGGAATGGAGTTCCAGAGTGTGGGGGTAGAGAGGCTGAAAGCCCGGCCACCAATGGCAGGGCGGGTTGGGCGGGAGACATGGAGCAGCCGGAGCTTGATGAACGGAGGGAGCGGGCAGGTTGGTAGGGAGTCAGCAGGTCAGAGAGGTAGGAGGGGGTAAGGCCATGGAAGGCCTTAAAGGTAAAAACGAGGATCTTGAACTCGATTCTCTGGGGGATTGGGAGCCAGTGGAGTCGGCCGAGGGTGGGGTTGATGGGGTCGGGTGAGAGTGGGGGTGATGGGGTCGGGGGAGAATGAGGTTGATGGGGTCGGGCAAGGGTGGGGCTGATGGGGTTTGGTGAGGGTGGGGCTGATGGGGTTAGGCGAGGGTGGGGTGATGGGGTTTGGTGAGGGTGGGAGTGATGAGGTCAGGCGAGGGTGGGGGTGATGGGGTCGGGTGAGGGTGATGGGGTCAGGGGAGGATGGGCGTGATGGGGTCGGGCGAGGGTTGGGTGATGGGGTCGGGCGGGGGCGATGGGGTCGGGCGGGGCGATGGGGTCGGGGGGGCGATGGGTCGGGGGGGGCGATGGGGTCGGGGGGGGCGATGGGGTCGGGCGGGGGCGATGGGGTCGGGCGGGGGCGATGGGTCGGGCGGGGCGATGGGTCGGGCGGGGGCGATGGGGTCGGGCGTGGGGCGATGGGGTCGGGCGGGGCGATGGGGTCGGGCGGGGGCGATGGGTCGGCGGGGCGGGGGCGATGGGGTCGGGCGAGAGTGGGGGTAATGGGGTCGAGCGAGGGTGGGGGTGATGGGGTCGGGCGAGGGTGGGGGTGATGGGAAGCCGATGAGAAGGGAGTTCCTGTAATCGAGCCTTGAGGTGACGAATGCGATGGTGAGGGTTTGGGGGCCTGAGGGGTGAGGCAGTGGCGGAGTCTGGCAGCGTTGCGGAGGTGGTGGTGGGCAGTGCTGGTCATGGCGCGGATGTGGGGGAGAAAGGACAGTTCAGGGTCAAACAAGACCCCCAGGTTCCTGACTGGCTTAGTGAGGTTGAGTGTGCAGCCATGGAGGCAGATGCTGCCAGCGCCCGAGGTGAGGAGGCGTTGGCACGAGCCAATCAGGAGGGCCTCGGTCTTGCTGACGTTGAGTTGGAGAAAGTTGTCCCTCATCCAGGACTTGATGTGGGACAGGCAGTCGGTCAGGACGCCAGTGGTCCTGGAGTTGTACACACTCCATACCCATTGTACACACACACATGCACGTCGTACACACACACGCACCATACATGCGCACACACGCCGTACACACACACGGTCCACACACACATAGTACACACACCGTACACACAAACACACCGTACACACACACACTGAACACACACACACTGAACACACACGCCGTACACACACACACTGTACAACGCACACTGTACACACACACACTGTACCCACAAACACACCGTACACATACACACCGTACACACAAACACATTGTACACACTGCACACACACTGCACGCACACACACGGTATATACACGCACACACCATATACACACACACACACACACAACATGCACACACAAACACTGTAGACACACACACGTACACCCATGCGCACATACACAGCATACACACACACACACAACTGCGTTGTAGTGATTGGGGTCTGACTGGGAGTGAGATGCAGTGCCCTGAGCTATGTGAAGCGTTGCTGTGTAGTGACTGTGCATTGTGTTGCGGTTTGCTGCTAGGAGTGGGCACACTGAACGACAGCCACAGTGGAGGGATGCAGTTACTGCCTGACCCACTTTACTCCATTCCCACTGACAACACGTACCTGCTGGCTGTCACTGCCACTGACACCGGACGCATCTTCCTGGCTGGTAAAGATGGCTGCTTGTATGAGATTGCTTACCAGGTAACCGCCATCTGACATTACACCACTGCGTGTGTATGTGTACGGTGTGTGTATGGTGTGTGTGTATATATGATGTGTGTGTGTGTATATACGATGTGTGTGTGTATGATGTGTATGCAGCGCCTTGGGACGTCCTCCTGACGTGAAAGGCGCTCTATAAATGGAATCTTGTTGTTGTTGTTGTTGTTGTGTATATACGGTGTGTGTGTGTACGGTGTGTGTGGGTGTACGGTGTGTGTGTATACAGTGTGTGTATGTATGTGTGTGTACTGTGTGTGTACGATGTGTGTATATATGGTGTGTGTGTGTACGGTGCGTGTATGGTGTGTGTAGGTACGGTGTATGTATGGTGTGTGTGTATGGTGTATGTGTGTACGATGTGTGTGTGAGTACAGTGTGTGTGAGTACGGTGTGTGTGTACGGTGTGTGTGTGTGTATACGGTGTGTATGTGTACAGTGTGTGTGTACAGTGTATGTGTGTACGGTGTTTGTACGGTGCGTTTGTGTAACGTGCGTTATGGCATGTCTGTACGGTACGTGTATGGTGTGTGTGTGTATGGTGTGTGTGTGTGTGTATGTGTATGGTGTGTGTGTGTACAGTGTGTGTGTGTGTGTGTACGGTGTGTGTACGGTGTGTGTGCATACTGTGTGTGTGCGCGTGTGTAGCTCAGTGGTTAGAGACCTGGGTTTGATTCCTGGGCAGCGCAAAACGTTGGGCAAGTTTCTGCACTCCACATGCCTGTGTTTACCAGCAGTAAGTAGTTGATTGGCAGATCACTTTTCTGGGGGTGATAATTCCTTCCAAAGTATATTAATAATGTGGTCACGCAATCTCTGCCTGTTTGTGGGACACTCACTGCTGTGCACAAATATGCAGTCAATTCACTTTGCAGTATGTTCTGTGAAACGCTTTGAGACGTCTCGAGGATGTGCTAAAGCACTATATCGAAAGATTATTATTATTATGTTTCTATGTTCCCATGTTGTGCACTTTCGGAAGTTCTCCCGACATGAAAAGCCCTGTATGAATGCCAATTATGTTGTTCCCGTGTGTCTGTTTGCTCCTATGTGTGTCTATGGGTTCCCGCGAGTGTCTGTGTGTTCCCCTGTGTGCCTTCGTCCATGTGTGTCCCTGTATCTGTGTCCTGGTGTGTCTGCGTCTCTGTGTCCCTCTGTGTATGTCTCTCTGTGTGTATGTTTCCTTGTGTCCCTGTGTGCTTGTGTCCCTGTGTGCCTGTGTCCTTGTGTGCCGGTGTGCCTGTGTCCCTCTGTGCCTGTGTGTCTGTGTCCCTGTCCCTCTGTGTCCCTGTGTCCCTATGTCCCTGTGTCCCTGTGTCCCTATGTCCCTGTCTGTGTCCCTGTGTCACTGTCCCTGTCCCTGTGTGGCTGTGTGTGTCTGTGTGCCTGTGTCAATGTGTATATGTGTCCTTGTGGCCCTGTGTGTCTCTATGTGTGTCTCTGTGTGTCCCTGTGTGCTTGTGTCCCTGTCTGTCTGTGTGTATATATCCCTTTGTGTTTCTGTGCATCTGTGTCTGTGTGCATGTGTTCATGTGTGTCTGTGTGTGTGTATGTGTCCTTGTTTGTTTGTGTGTATGTAGAATCATAGTTGTGCCGACTCCAGATCAACCCCACTCCCCCGCGCTCTCCCCAAAGCCCTGATCAACCCCACTCCCCCGCGCTCTCCCCAAAGCCCTGATCAACCCCACTCCCCGCGCTCTCCCCATAGCCCTGATCAACCCATTCCCCCCCTCTCTCTCCCCATAACCCGAATCAACCCCACTCCCCCACTCTCTACCCATAGCACTGCAAACTTGTCCTCCCCAAATAATTATCTACTTTTCTCTTAAAATTTGTCATTGAATCGGCTTCCACCAGCCTTTCAGGAAATACCTTTCAGGTGGCTGTATGTACTTGCCCCCTGTGTGTGTGTGTGTGTTTTTCTCTCCCTTTCTCTCTCTCTCTCTCTCTGTGTCTCGCCCTGTGTGTATGTGTTTGTGAATGCTGTGTGTGTGTCTCTCGCTGTGTGTGTCTGTATGTGAATGTGTGTGTGTCCTATGTGTGTGTGTGTGTGTCATGTGTGTGTATATGCCCTGTGTGTGTGTGTCACTGAGTATGTGTGTATGTATATGACATAGAATCAAAGAATCATATATTCTTGCACTCCCTATACCCAAGCCCAAGTCATTTATATAGATCAAAAACAGCAGTGATCCCAATACTGACCCCCGGGGGACACCACTGCACACTTCCCTCCAGTCAGAGAAACAACCGATGTGGTCTGTCTGTGTGTGTATGCATGTCCTGTGTGTGTGTGTGTGACGTCTGTGTGTGTGTATGACCTGTGTGTGTGTGTGTGTGTGTGACCTGTGTGTGTGTGTGTATGACCTGTGTGTGTGTGCGTATGACCTGTGTGTGTGTATGACCCGTGTGTGTTTATGACCTGTGTGTGTGTATGACCCGTGTGTGTGTATGACCCATGTTTTTGTATGACCCGTGTGTGTGTATAACCCGTGTGTGCATATGACCCGTGTGTGCGTATGACCCGTGTGTCTATGACCCGTGTGTGTGTATGACCCGTGTGTCTGTATGACCCGTGTGTGTGTATGACCCGTGTGTGTGTATGACCCGTGTGTGTGTATGACCCGTGTGTGTGTATGACCCGTGTGCCGTGTGTGTGTATGACCCGTGTGTGTGTATGACCCGTGTGTGTGTATGACCCGTGTGTGTGTATGACCCGTGTGTGTGTATGACCCGTGTGTGTGTATGACCCGTGTGTGTGTATGACCCGTGTGTGTGTATGACCCGTGTGTGTGTATGACCCGTGTGTGTGTATGACCCGTGTGTGTGTATGACCCGTGTGTGTGCATGACCCGTGTGTGTGCATGACCTGTGTGTGTGCATGACCTGTTGATGTGGTTGTAGGCGGAGGCTGGCTGGTTCAGTCAGCGATGCAGGAAAATCAATCACTCCAAAAGCTCCCTGTCCTTCCTCGTGCCCTCAGTGCTACAGTTCACCTTCTCTGAGGATGGTGAGTGCCCGGGGGTGGGGGTGTGGGGGCTGCTGGAGCGCTCGGTCACATGTACTGTTTCCCCGACACTGCGGAATGGGGAGTGTTCGGATCGCAGAAATGAATGATAGCCCCTTTCCGACACCCGACTGTTCAGCGCTTTGGGACGTCCTCCCACGTGAAAGGTGCTCTATAAATGTAATTTTGTTGTTGTTTCCAATCTTGAAGGGGGTGAAGGAGGAGAGAGACCTGGGGTTCATATAAGTAATTCTTTGAAGGTGGCCGGACAGGTAGATACAGCTGTTAATAAAGCATCCGGACACGAGGCTTTATAAATAGGGCATAGAATACACAAGTCAGGAAGTCACGATGAACCTTTATATAAATCACTGGTGGGGCCTCAGCGAGAGACTGGGCTCAGTTCTGGGCCCCACACTTTAGGAAGGATGTCAAGGCATTGGAGAGGGAGCGAAGGAGATTGACCAGAATGGTACCAGGAATGAGGGACTTCAGTGATCAGGAGAGGTAGAGAAGTGAGGATTATTCTCCGGGGAACAGAGAGGGTTAAGAGGAAACTTAGAAGTTTTCAAAATTATGAGGGTATTCGATAGGGTGAACCGGAGAAACCATCAATTTGGGGAGGACAAGTTTGCAGGGCTATGGGGAGAGAGCAGGGGAGTGGGGTGGATCAGGGCTATGAGGAGAGAGCGGGGGAGTGGGGTTCTTTTGGAAGCTGTTTTCAAAGAGCAGCGCAGACACGATGGGCCAAATGTCTTCCTTCTGTGCTGTGTAATTCTATGATTCGAGACTCCATTGTATAGTGACGTTCTTCCCTCTGTGTCTGTCACGAGACCCCATTGTACAGATTGCCATTGACAACTCTCGCAACATCCTCTACACTCGCTCAGAGAGAGGAGTCCTACAGGTACTGGGTCTGTCCGAGGTGGTGGGGGTGACAGGGAGGGCGGTGGTGAAATGGAGAAGTGACGGGGGGTGTGATGGCGGGAGGTGGGGTCTGGGGGTGGCTGTGATGCAGGATGGGGGGTGGTGGGCTGGACTACACTGACCATTGTCTCTCTTGCAAGCCTTCTCTCTGGGGGGAAGGTGGTCTGACGGGGAGGGGCTGGCTGACCGCTCGCTGTGTTACAGGCCTACTCTCTGGGACAGGATGGCCACGGGATGAGCCGTGTGGCTTCCCTATCACACACGTCCATTGTCACTGCTGCCGGCAACATTGCCAGGTCAGTGTGAGAGAGAGAGTGTGAGAGAGAGTGTGAGAGAGAGAGTGAGAGAGAGTGTGTGAGAGAGAGAGTGAGAGAGAGTGAGTGAGAGAGTGAGAGAGAGAGAGAGAGTGAGAGAGTGTGTGAGAGAGTGAGTGAGAGAGAAAGAGTGAGAGTGTGTGTGTGTATGAGGGAGAGTGTGAGAGAGAGTGAGGGTGTGCATGAGAGTGTGCGCATGAGAGTGTATGTGAGTGTGTGTGAGTGTGTGTAAGAGATAGAGTGTGTGAGAGAGTGAGCGAGTGTGAGAGAGAGAGAGAGAGAGAATGAGACAGAGTGTGTGTGTGTATGAGGGAGAGTGTGAGAGAGAGTGAAGGTGCGCGTGAGAATGTGCGCGTGAGAGTGTGTATGTGAGTGTGTGTGAGTGTGTAAGAGAGACAGTGTGAGAGTGTGTAAGAGAGTATATGAGAGTGTGTGAGAAAGAGTGTGTGTGTGGGAGAGAGTGTGAGTGTGTGTTAGAGAGAGAGAGAGCGAGAGTGTGAGAGAGACTGAGCATGAGAGAGGGAGAGAGAGAGTGAGAGGCAGAGAGTGTGAGAGAGAGAGTGAGAGAGAGTGTGTGAGGGAGTGAGAGAGAGAGTGCACGTGAGTTTGCGCGTGAGAGAGTATGTGAGTGTGTGTGTGTGTGTGTGGGAGAGAGAGTGAGAGAGAGAGTGTGAGATAGTGTGTGAGAGAGAGTGGGGTCTGGGGGGTTGGAGGCCGGGGGTTGGAGGCCGGGGCCGGGTGTGGGGGGCCGGGGCCGGGTGTGGGGGGCCGGGTGTGGGGGGCCGGGGGCCGGGTGTGGGGGGCCGGGGGCCGGGTGTGGGGGGGGCCGGGTGTGGGGGCCGGGTGTGGGGGGCCGGGGGGGCCGGGTGTGGGGGGCCGGGTTGGGGGGGCCGGTGTTGTGGGGCCGGGGCCGGGTGTGGGGGGTCGGGCTGAGCGCTCTCTCTCTCTCTCTCTCTCAGGACGATCGATCGCTCGGTTTTCAAACCGATTGTTCATATCTCAGTGATCGAGAGATCGGAGTCTGTGCACTGCCACCTGCTGGCCATCACCCACAGCGGTCAGTGACCCCTCGGCCACCTCGCCGACCCCTCGCCGTCCCTCGCCGACCCCTCGGCCACCTCGCCGACCCCTCGACGACCCCTCGCCGACCCTTCGCCGTCCCTCGCCGACCCCTCGGCCACCTCGCCGACCCTTCGCCGTCCCTCGCCGACCCCTCGCCGACCCTTCGCCGTCCCTCGCCGACCCCTCGGCCACCTCGCTGACCCCTCGCCGACCCCTCGCCGTCCCTCGCCGACCCCTCGCCGACCCCTCGCCGACCCTTCGCCGTCCCTCGCCGACCCCTCGCTGATCCCTCGCCGTGACCCCACAGTGTGACCTATGGCCTAACGCAGTGCCCTGTGACCCCCAGGAGTGCGGTTGTACTTCACCACGTCCCCGTTCAGGCCCCAACCACAGGCGGCCTCCGTGTTGCTGCTGGTTCACGTGCGGCTGCCCCCGGGGTTCAGCGCCTCCGCCATCGCCCACCGGCCCGGGAACGTCCACAAAGCCCTGTACACCAGAGGTATGTACCCCCACACACTCCCCCACCCACCCCCCCCACTGTATCTGTGTGTGTGTGTGTTTGGGGGGAATGTGAGGCTAATACCATCTGTGTCTGTGTCTGTGTTTTGGGAGTGTGAGGTTAACGCTGTGTCTGTGTGTGTGGGGGAGTGTGTTGGGGTGTGAGGTTAACGCTGTGTCTGTGTGTGTGTTTTGGGGGTGTGAGGTTAACTCTGTGTGTGTGTGTGGGGGGGGGAGGTGTTTTGGGGGTGTGAGGTTAACGCTGTGTTGTGTGTGTGTTTTGGGGGTGTGAGGTTAACTCTGTGTGTGTGTAAGGGGCTGTGTTGGGACCCTGAGGTTAAGACTATTTGTGTGAAAACAAAC